TGATTTATTCCACTCAACATTATATTTTCTAGGTGCATCCATCTTCTTACAAATGCCTCAAATTTGTGCTTCTCTGTAGTTGAGTAGTTTTTCATTTTATATATATATATATCACATTTTCTTTATCCAGTCGACTGTTGATGGGTATATAGGTTGCTTCTATTTTGCTAATATGAATTATGCTTCTATAAACATTGGTATGCTGGGGCTGGGGATTTAGCTCAGCAGCATAAGCGCCTGCCTTGCAAGCAGGCAGTCGTGGGTTCGATCCCTGATACCGATAAAAAGGAAAAAGACAAAAAACAAACAAACAAACAAAAAACAAAACAAAACAAAAAAACATTGGTATGCATATGTCACTGTAGTATGATGTTTTAAACTCTTTGGTAAAGGTATATGGAAGGAGGAATAGATTGATCATATAGAATTTTTAATTGTTAGAATAATTTTTATAGGTAGAGTGAAGGACTAGTGTTGAGGTGTTTGAAAAAATATCTGTGGGAGTGGTAGAAAGTATATGGAAAAAAAGGGATGTGCTAAGAATGTTGGAATCTGTTAACATGTCAGTGGTTATCTTATGTTTGATTCTCTATGCCCAATTTTGGTAGGGTTACCATGACTTTCCATAAAATGCACTATTTACATTAAAGCACTGGTTAATTTTATTTGCCTTTGCACGTATACATATACTTCATATATATTCAAGATGAAAGAAGAAAGGAAGAGAGAGAAGATATAGGAATAAGAGACAGAGGAAAAGAGAAGATAAAACAAGAGAAGGGAAAAAAGAAACACACTTCCCAACCCAGATTCCTACCTGGTTGCAAAGACATGAAATCTAACTGCCTTCACAGTTCCTTTTATTTTTCAGGGTGAGCTCTACTAGTGGTCTCTTTTCTCCTGTCTCACATGCAGGGAGGCTTTGAACTGTAAGGCAGTCTGGATGAATTTCTGGGTCTGACACCATCCTGCTCCTCTGCCTACTCTAAGCATCACTGTAACACAGATTATTTCTCACCTTCTCAGCTGTCCTCCAGTTCACTCTGCCTTCTATTGCTGATCCTGTTCTCTGCAGCCCCTGTAAGGTTTGCTCAGTTATCTGCTCATGAGCAAAGAGGCTTGTTGATCTGGAGAACTCTGTGTGCTCACCTCCCCACTGTAAGCTGCAGTCTGGACGTGGCTGACTGTAGGCCTTTGCTTCTGTCGCAAGATCTGACCTCCTCAGCTAACTCAAGGAGGTGCAGTGAGGTTGCCCAGGCCCATTTTTTCCATTGACTTCCAAGGCTCTCTCTATCTCTGTTTCCTTCCCTTCATGGCAAATCCCACAGCCACTTCTGCAGTCTCCCTCCACAAGTCTTTTGCTAAGCATGCCACTGGATGCCCTCTGGCCAGGGCTCTCCATCTATAATCCTTCCCCATGCACTCTCCTTAGGGCTTCACCTCCAACTCAGGAACTTGGTGGTGCTTCAGTGCCCGCTGTGTCCAGCAGGGGGTGACGAGCAGTGAGCAGAATGTGAGGAGCACAACACTCCAGTGTTTAGAATGAATGTTTGGTCTCTTTTATCTCCCCAGGGTCTTGCCACGTGGATTCTGTCTGCTTTCTAGTCCCTAAGCTGCAGTGTTCTTAAAATTCAGGTCTGGGACTCTTTCTCAGATACCACCTGACAGTTCTGTTTCTCTGATGCCCTGGTTTGTAAATATTTCACTTCCTGTTTCTTTACCCAGTGGGGAGGGGTAGAAAGGTTTAATTTCAGAGGTTTAGTCACTGCCAAAGTGCAGGCCTTCTTCCGTAGAGCATTAGGTACTCTCCCAAAATGATGTGTGTGCGAAACCTGGGTGTGATCCAGTAGCAGTCTGGCTTTCCTTTGTAAACCTCCTTGTTACTACTGGGTTTGGGCCTGCTGATTTTATCCTTCTGTTTGCACTCCTCTATCTGGTTTTCCCATCCCTTTTAAAATACCTGTATTTTTGTGGTGCGTATCTCAGAGGCTTCCTCACTCGCTGCTGCCACTTAGGCATGATGAAACTCCAATTATACGAGAAAATTTATCCTGGAAACTTCCCAGCTCAAGCCTGACATTGTATTGCTTCTAGCTTGAATAAAAAAGTAGTCTGTAAATTTATCTCTATAGTGAGATCAGGAAGGTTATTTTCAGGGCCATGAAGTAAGAAAAGAGTAGAAAAATTATATAGACAGATAATATAAAATCCAGGCTTAATGCTGGTAGGGAGGAAAGGTATACTTTTCTTACCTATTGGAAGAGTCATCTCCAACAATGGTATGATGAGACAGAATAGAAAAACAAAACAAATCAATAAAAATTTAAATGACACAGGAACCTTCAGATGGAAGGTTCAGAGAAGTCTCACTATTTTTAAGCTTAGGCTCAATGAAGAAGGGAGTTTTGTAGAAATGTGATTGGACAAACTGTTATGACGTAATGATTTACAGCTAATAGACTGATAGGGAGCGACCAGCAGGTCCTGTCTAGATTCTTTGTCCTGTGCACCATTCCTCTTTCCCCCTTTCTATCCCCAAATATGGGGCCTGGACCTTCCAGAATGCACATCATCGAGGGAAAGATGGGAGTGACTTTTTGGTTTTATAGCTTGCTTTGGGAGAGAGTTCTAGTTTCTGATTCACCATGTTAACCTGATTTTGGTGACTTTCTGGCATAAACAGGGGTAGGAGGGGGCCGGGGATTTAACTCAGTGCTTGGTAGGAGCAAGGTCATGAGCTTGATCCCCCCTCACCATCCCCCATTCCAAAGGAAAAGAGGGGTTTAGGAGGAGGGAGGATATGTTAGGAAGCCCTTGCTTCTGAAGTTCTTGTGTTCACAATAGCAAGTCAAAGTGCAGTATTTTGGGGTTCTGACCCTCAACAATGCTCTCTCCATTTGCTATAAAATGATAGTTTATCTAGTCCTCATTAGCAGCCATTAAGGAGTTGGTAGGTACAGCAAATAACACTGCTGTTCTCGCCAAAGCCCTTTTCACATCTTTGAATTTGCCTGTAACATCCAGCCCCTGCAGTTCTTCCTGTGCTGCTTAAACTTTGCTGGCAACGCAGAGAGCAAGAGTATCCAGGAATTACATTCTCCACTCACTCACTATCCAACAGTTCAGGGAATGGGTGTATGAAAGCTGCAGGCTCCCTGCCCCAGGGGTTTCCTTAATTTCTCAGGCTGGAGCCAACCTTGGCTAAATGTGCCAGCGTGTCTCCATCTCCTTCCTGCCCTTGCTTTCCTCTTCCCTAGAGCTATCATCTGTGTACACCACCTCCATAAATCACATTTGAAGCCTCAAAAACTCATCTCGGGATTTACTTCTGGTTAAAACAGTGGGTCAGATGTTACTGTCTTTTCATCTTAATCAATAAACACAGATTGACTACATGTATGTAAGAGAAGCAGAGAAAAGCATTCTTAGCATAAAAAACAGAAAAAGGCATGGAATGCCATGCAAAAGAACTAATGTCTATAATTATCTAGATCGCTCCAATGATTCTATACATACATACTTTACGTATTTTCATTTTTACATGAAATTAGTTTTCATGCTTCCAACCAAGTAACTTTTCTTCTAAAGATGTTTGACTCATCTGTTTTCCTTCTCTCCTGGCTTATGTAAAGAGAGAAGGTGATGAAAGAGGAAGCCAGTAGGAAGGAAGAAAAATGTTTTCTTCTACCTTCAGGTCTTCTAGTACCCTTTATTGGAAGATTTTAAACAAGGAGCAACTAGAAAAGAAATGTGGTTTGCAGTGTCCCAGTTCCAGTGTCGTAAGAATATAGAAGGGTGACTTTGGAACTGAAAATTTAGTAGCTGGTACATAATTCATTTTATATAAATTCACCCTATGAAATTTCTTCTTATGCTTCTAAATAAAAGTTTTAAAGATACATTCACTCTATTTTCTTTTCTGGATCATATGAAATATGAGATAATGATACAGTTAATTTTAAATAATGAATCTAACCAGTAAGTATTTGAGGATCCTTAAAGTACACTTCATTGTATAACACTGAGATATAATACTGAGTGCCTATTATGTGTGAGCAATGCATTAAACACAGGGATGAAAAGATACAGTGCCTTCTGTTCTCATGGGAATTTTAAAAAGAAGTATTTTTTTGTTTGTTTGTTTTTTTCCTTTTTATCGGTACCAGGGATCGAACTCATGACCGCCTGCTTGCAAGGCAGGTGCTTATGCCGCTGAGCTAAATCCCCAGCCCCTAAAAAGAAGTATTTTTTAACACTTTGTTTTTAGTAAAAAGCTTAGGTTCTTTTTTTTTTTGGTACTGGGGATCAAACTCATGATCTCGAGCTTGTCAGGCAGCTGCTTGTGCCAAAAGCTTAGATTCTGAGCATTAATACTAGTGTAAATTTCTGTGGCCTTTACTGGTTATGAAATATAAATAAATATTTTGCTACAGAGGAATACCTCAAGGGAAGATTTATTACTACCATTTCTATCATGAAAATGAGTGTCATATTTCATCCAATGACATAAAACTATTAATATAATATCATTTACAATTTATTTGACGGGTAATTTTAAAATAAAATCATCCAGAAAACATGAACTAATCCTCAAGATTTTAAAAACACGTATTTCCTATCATGGGTAATGTTAAAAAATACATTGTGAAATAGACCAATTCATTATCATGAGGTTAGGTTTTCCTATTCTATTTAAATAAAGATAATACAAGGGATTCATGTTTTATTCTGTAATATTTTCTCATTTTATTTATTGAACCCCATCCCCCTCTTTTAGACAGGAATTTTGCTATGGTGCCGATGCTGCCTTAAACTCATGATTCATACTTTAGCCTCCTAAGTAGCTGCAATTACAGGCACATACCAACATAACATCTGTCTTCCCTTTGTTTTTTTTCAAAGAATAAGAACAAAAATTACAATCTCTTAGACAAGCTGGAAAATAAGCAAGTTTGTTTTGTGAATAAGCACTAGTTAGCTAGTAATTCGGAGTCTGTCACTTTCACTTTAATATATTTTATTTAGAACGTAGCACTAACAGCATGATGATAGACTTACAAATGTATAAAGCAGCACACAATCTTTAAAATATGTTGCTTTTCACAAGTAACTTTAAGTATTACATCATTTAGTACTACAGTCAAAGACGACATTTAGATTCCTCAGCTTTGGGGCATTTAGTAACATCGAAATGATTGCCTAGTCATGCTGAGGAAAGAAATTCAAAAGCAGTTTCTTTTTCTTCCGCCAGTTCCTTTGCAGTAATATCCATCTTCTCACGTGAGAAATCATTAATAGGGAGACCTTCAACAAACTTCCAGGTCTTATTCTGTTTGAAAGAAAAATATCTACACTGATTACAACTGATCTTCCAGCAAGCAACAACCTAGTGTGAATTCATGTTTAGAGGTGTACCACTTTAAAGTTTGATTTAAAAGTAAGTAAATAATCCAGATTTTTTCAGTGCTGGGGATCAAACTCAGAGCCCTTGTGCATGAAGGGAAGCACTCAACTACTAAGCACACCTTTAGCCAGGAATCCAAATCTTAATTAACAGATAATTTTGCATAAAAAGGCAACATCTGCATCTAAAATCCATGAAATCTTAAAAAATTCTATAAAAACTATTCACATTAGTTAATAAGATTATAATAGTCATACTGCATCATTTAGAAATAAGACATGATTTGTAGACATGATATTAGAAAAGTAGTAATTTATCTAGTGGGAACAGTTGAATCTTGCTTTCCAGATTAATTTCAAACTTTTGGTGAATTAAAGTTGTGATAGACATAAAAATTCTGAGGAAAAATAAATTTAGTACAAAATTAACTTTTTAGCTCAAATTATTATTCCATTTTTGAGAAAAACATGTAATGACTTTCCCACCTCAAAACACCTTACCTTGATTACAACAGGGAATGAATAGAGCAGATCATCAGGAATACCATAGGAGTTGCCATCAGAGATAACACCCATGGATACAAACTCTCCCTGAAAAAAAAAAAAAGTTACACATTCTTACAGTGCACAGGGATCAGTTTACCAACCAACACATGAACTAAAAAATTAACCAAGTGACCTTCTTACTATGTTCATAACTTCATTACCGTAATGGCATGATAACCAACACTGGGCATTCCCAAGACAAGATAACTTTCGTACATTTGATCTCATTCTACTCTTCCAAATTATCTGTGAAGTAGGCCAGAGAAACATAATCCTTATTATAAACATGAGGAAACTGGCCCAAATCTGATGTGAAAGAGAAAATGGTTTTCCATATAAAATCTCACTTAATCCTTCCAATTGTGCAATATCATGTAACAGATGACAACACAGCTCAGAAATGTTAAGTAACTTTCTGAAGGTTACCTGGTTTGTAGGCAGCTGAGTGGGGAAATAACCTAATTGGCTTGACTCCGAAGGTTAGGATCTTTTTACTTTACAGTGTCAGGGAACAAAAATAAAAAGAGTGGCTTGTGCACATCACTGAGTCCTCACCTCTGGGGTTCCAAACCAGATGTCTCTGATGTGGTCTGCGATGGCTTTTGCAGCAGACATTGCACTGGAGAGTTTCCGAGCTTTGATGACAGCTGCACCACGCTGCTGCACAGTCTGGTTGGAAGCAGGCAGAGGCAGTGGTGTTACTTGGTTATGCTAGCAAAATTTTCATCAGTTCCAAGCTGACCCTGAGATGAAAGTCTACAACAATAGCTTAATCTATTTTCTCCAAAATCATGCAACCATCTAAAGCTGACCTTACTAACCTAATTCACTTGTAAGTACCAATCTTTTCAAAGACAGAAAAGTACAAATTCCCACAAGATGTTTCACATACTTTATTCAAAGAAATGGATCTAGGTTAAAAAAAAAACAAAAAGAGAGCTAGATGATTAGAGGGTAGTCCAATTTTTTCCACTTTTGATAATTTCAATGGCTACATAAAAGGTCAGATACAATGGACTGTGACTGGCTCTATAAGATGCCCAGAATACATATGCATTACTCGAAGCAAATGTGAAAGATCTGCTCTCTGTGAGGTTTCCTTTCTACCCCTTGGGGAGGCACTAAGGTCAGCAGTGTGGAGCGTGTCTCCAGAATTCTTTATGCTTGGCTGTTAAGATGACTCACAGATTTTTCTTACCGTGATGAAGTCTCCCTTGAGCCAACTGTCATCTTTCAGAGCTTCATAAACACCAACTTCCTTTCCATGCAGTTTCACTTTGGCATGGTTGACATCTGGATATTGAGTCGAGGAATGGTTTCCCCAGATGATGACATTCTTCACATCATCAGCAGTCACACCAAGTTTAAGAGCAATCTAATACAATTTAAAAGAAAGACACTAATTAGACAAATGATTTTTATCTCAAATTGTGACATGTGTGAAAAAATTCTTTAAGAAAAATGGAAAAAGCCTCTGAACTTTTTTTTTTTTTTTTTTTTTTGAGACAGTGTCTCACTTTGTAGTGCAGACTGGTCTTGAGTTCCCTTGGATCCTCCTGCCTCAGCCTCTGAAGTGCTGGGATTACAGGTGTGTACCACCATGCCCAGCATGCTTCTGAAATTTTGAGAGGACACTGTGAATTATACTGATTTATAAAAAGCAAATTTCATTGCTTGGTAACTGCATAAAATAGCTTTACAGTGTTAATGAAACACTTTTGGGTAAAATTTTTAAGTGAGTATCAAAGAGCACACACCAGCTGATAATTTGTGATCGGTAGCACAGTAGATTTTCAAATATAAAACATCAACTAAGAGGTTAACATTTCTTGAGTACATAAATGTGATCGTTGTTTTGTAGATAATGTTTACATGGAGATAGTTCCTTGAGTAGTTCAGAGAAATTAGGTGTTTTAGGTACTTTCCCCATATTTAGGTGAAGTTTTTATAATGTAGCAATATAAATCAATTTTCAATTTATCTCATATATGAAATTTTTGAGTTGGAAGGGACTTATATTACCAAAGAATAACTCCATTTGATAGGTTAAGTCCCTGAAGAAAGAGGTTAAATATAATAACTTACACATCTGTGTATACATCTGTCTACATACACACTTTGATTTATGATGCAGTTATATTCTGAAATTATTTTAAGTTGCAAATAATTTAAGATGAAATGCATTTAATACACCTAACCTAGTGAACATCATAACAGCCAACCTTACCTTAATTGTACTCACATTTATTTTAACTTACAATTGGGCAGACTCATCCTAACACAAAGCCTATGTTACATAATATAATGTTAAACATACTATTTAACATATTATATATAGATTTATGAAGCCCCGTATCTATATTACCTTGGGCAAGTAACTCAAGATGCTTTTCATCAAGAACTTAAGAACCCATAACCACTCTGAATGTCAGATTCAACTACTCCAAAGTAAAATGAAGATAAAGTGCCTGTAGGCTTCTCCTCCCCCTAAGTCTTCATGGCGTCTTACTTGCTTTGTTCATGCTGCCTACCCTCTCCTGCTCCTTTGATCTCTTTAGCTAATCTAGTTCTGTCTGGACAGCAAAGACCAGGTACTCTGCACTCAACAGATGTCATTTTATCATTCGTGTTAGAGCTAGTCTAAATTAACACGCACCCAGAATAGCTGTTCCTTGATTCTTAAGACACTTTTCATGTCTGTCATACAGATCTGTTAAACATTTGACTAATTCCTCAGCCCTAGCAATTTTCTTCCCCCTCATACCAGCCAACTGGTATCACTGTCAAATTACCTTGTCATCAGACATAGACCTAGTTTACAAATACAGAATTCTGAAGATGATAAATAGTTATTGGGTAGGTAAGACTTCTAAGTTTTAAAACACGTTAGGTAAAACCAGTCAACATTCATATAAGAAAAAATTATCTTTGGATTTATTATTTTCTTACTGGATAAACAACTTTTATAACTGCTTCTTCAAAAACTCCGTAAAAGCTCTCTCTGTGCCAGAATGACATGTTGAAACAGTGCCTAATCAAGGGCCTGTAAAGACTGTGAATGCGTGCCAGAAGGATGGTTAAAGTTTGATGAGATAGCTTTTCCCCTCTTGGCTCATTCATGACTTTTGCCCCCCAAAGCAAAACTACTTCAGGCCCTGGGACAAAACAGCACTCAGTAATACTTCTGGAAGCAGAATATTTCAATGTCTGCCTCCAACAAAACCTCAGATGAGACAGCACAAAGAGATGTCAGTGTTGTCATTTTAGCTCTTATCCCCTGTAAGAACTAAGTAAGCAACAAAACAGCAGTGACAACTGGCAATTGCAACTCATATAATAACATCTTCCCTCCAGTCATTCTAACCAAATCCCATTCTCCCCCAGATCCTGCTCAGTTTTTGCTACCCAATGATCTTCTAAATTAACTGGAATGTTAAGGGTGTGGCTCTCTTAATAAAAACAAAACTGACAACCATAAGAGCAGTCAACTTTTATTGTATGAGTATGACAGGTACTTTGCTAATGGCTTCAAATGGATCTTATTTCATAACAACTCTCTGAGGTCGATATAATTATTATTCTATTTTATAGCTATTCTATTTTATGTGTTTTCTCAAGGTCACAGAGCCAGTAGGTAAATCTAATCTATGATTCCACTATGAAAGAACATGCACAAGGGTTTGTTTTGAGCCAGGCAAATCTAGGAGGTTCCATCATTTACTAGTTATATGACTTAAGAGTAGGTTCCCCGACCCCTCTGGGACCCAGGTTGCCTACCTGTAAAACAAGGATAATAATGAGATTATCTGTTACAGTTGCTATAAAAACTAAGTGAAAGATTATATATAAAGCTTACGGTAGAAGCATTCAGCTTATGGTAGAAGCTTAACAAATATAAAATCTTTTCTCTATAACTGGGCATTCAGGAACTGGCAAGTTAATTCTTAGTTTAAGATGGTTGTTTTTCAACTTTGACCTCATGCCATCATCTGGTTAAAAAAACTTTCTTGAAACTAAATAAAGATATCAACTGTAGAAGAAAAACACTATTTTCATAGACCTATGTGGCAGTGCTGACCTGAGGATGAAGAGGGATGGCCAGGGAAGTGGTATGGAAAGGAAAAAGGGCCAAGTCTGAGAACATTAGCTTTCTCCTGACTTCCAAGGATACCAGGACCAGTTAGAGCTGAGAAATCCTAGGAAATCAGTCTGCATTAATAGCCTAGATTCTGATGTTTTGAAGATATTATTAATTTCCTGGTCCTCAACTTCTTGGAATATTTTCCTGAGGTTCCCAGGGGTAAGGTAAATTACAATAATGTAAAGCTTAGTTCTTAACTAGTGAAAACAGGAAATTTTATGGACACATATAGAATATTACAATGATATAAGATTGAAAACTAAATATAATATTAAAATTAAAATTTAAACTTGATTGCTTAGCTGTAGGGAAAAAGCACACAATACTCAAATCTGTCAATTTATAATCTCATGTATCTGAAAATAATTAAATTATGCATTATCAAGTAAATTATTATACTAGTAACTAATGCTAACTCCCAAAAGAATAGCAATAACTCCATTTAACTGTCATTATCAATTAAAATATAATCAAAATTAAGTGTGAAGTTAAGCTTCTGGTCCTTAGAACAGATTTAAAGATTGTCTAATACATCTATAAATAATTTACCTTTAATTTAATAAAAGGAATGGTTTCCTACTACAGAAATGAAATGAAAAAGTAGAATTCACTGCTTTTTTTTGGTATGGGGAACTGAACTCAGGACTTTGTACTTGACAGACAAGTGCTGTACCACTGAGCTGCATCCGCGGCCAGGATTCACTGATTTTAAAAGCATTTTAAAGCTGAGTTTTTAAGATTTTAAGAGGCATTTTTCTTACTTGTGATTTAGCTCTGTTATGATCCAAACGAGTTAGACAACTGAAGTTCTCCTTCGGGATGGATGGAGCTGACTTAGAAGCAGTCAGGCAGTTGGTATTTGCTGGATTTCCCACAACAATGACCTAGGAAGCACAGATTACAAACTGTATTCTTATTAAGTAAATTTTACTAGAATTTGACTGAAAAATATGTAACAGGTAGATTGCATGTTAAGTTTGTATGAGATAAACACATATAATAAATATATTTAAAAAGCCATTGTAGTATGTAGGTTTTTATACTCTTTTTTAAGAACTTTGTTTTCTTGACTAGGTAATGTCTGGTGTGACTAAAGAAAACATTTCTTGAAAGAGCTGTTTTACATATACAAATCACTTCCCATTTGGCAGTGTTTAGATACATGTCTATTTTGTTTGTGTGCCAAAACGGAGTCACAGTATTTATCTACCTATCCTTCTAGACACACTTACAAATCCAAACAAAAAGCCCAAGTATTTTAAAGCTCTATGTCAGGGTCTGATTCAGTCATATAATTTTCTTTCTATTTGGGGTTATTTTGGAACAAATTGTCTCTATGATTAAAAACTATTCCTCAAACTTGCTTCATCCTAAAAATTTCCTGTGCTAGTTGCTGGAATGTAGATTGCCCCCCCACCATCTCCTCCCAGATCTAATGAGTTAATCTTTAGCAGAAAACACTTAAGGTTATTTCTGTATTGAGAAGGTTTATTCGGCAATGAATTATAACATGGTACAGGAGACCCTAATATATGGGACTTCTACAATATGTGGATTTTTATTAAAATGAAAATTGAAAAAACCTTATTTTGAAATATGGTTAAAATTTATAGAAAAGCTAGAAGCATATTATAAAGACAGATTCCCATTATCACTTTTTCTAGATTCTCTGTCTCTGTACACACATACTTTAATACTTTCATTAGCTCATTTGAGAAGCTGCAGCTAAAATAGTATGTTGTTGACCCTATATACTCCAGTGCCTCAAGTGTTTCTTCCAACAAGAACACTGCATTTGTGGGAGTACTCTGCAAAGGCAGCCTGGATTTTAGTGGTCTGAATAGCCTTGTAATCTTGAATAAAGAAACTGGAGGATTTCTACTCAATACATCTATATCATATTCTGTTAATGATACAGAAAATAAAAATGATTTAAAATGAAGTCCATGGAAAGCAAATCCGTTTATCAAACTAATTTCCTACCACAATCACCTACACATCTATAAATATCTGAACAAGTATTTCCACATAAGAAAAAGGAACCAGAAAGTTGTGTCTTCTTTATACGTTTAAGGACCAATGTCAAATTTCCATGTCATAGTAGTGAGCAAAGTTTTTGAGCACTTGTGCTTACAGATTTCTGTACTTACAGAAAAAGATATGTAAAGGGAGATCTGCATTTACTGAACATTGCATAGAACTGGAAAAAAGGGGGGGGAGGCAAACAATTTTTTTTCACTTAAATGCTGAAAGCATAAGTTTCAAATTCAAGTGATGAGAAACCTAATAAAATGCAGAATTGTTTACCTTAACTGACTTTTTGGCATATTTATCCAATGCTGCACCCTGGCTTTTGAAGATTTTTACATTTGCTTTCAGTAAATCTTTTCTCTCCATGCCTTCCCTTCTTGGCATGGAGCCCACAAGAACAGCCACATCCAGGTCTTTGAAGGCAACTTCTTCTTTATCTGTTGCAATAACATCTGTGGACAATATGTAAAAGTACTTAAATACCCAAGCCTGAAATTTTATTTTTCACATTGAATGTAGTCATTCATTCTTAAACTTTGTAGCAAATTGTTTATCATTACATCTCATACTGATAGACCTTTTTGGGACATACCATCAGTAGAAATGTCAACAAATTTATTATCCCCTTATTTCGATTCAACAATTCTTTTTATCTTTCCTAGTCCTATATGGGGCAAGGTATAACTTTCAAAGCAACATTTGTTATTACCACAGATAGCACAAAACAGCAACTCAGTCACTAAACCTTTAAATTATATTCATTTCAAGGTCTAAAATACCAGTCACAAATTTAAAACTAGTGAATGTTTATTGAATAGTGTGCCAGAAATAATACTAAGAGAGTTATACTATTATAAATTTAATCTTTACATTTTATAGATGAAGACACGGAGGTTTAAAGAGATTAGCTACCACCACGATAAGATTGTAAGGTTGTATATTTTGGTCTGTCAATCTAGAGTTCAACTACTTTGCCACAATGTCAGTCTAATAAACACATACAACTTGCTTTTTGATTAAAAAACATTAACGGCCATGACCACTATTCAGCATATTATTGGTAAATTTTTAGACCAGGGAATTTGTGTTAGTCGGGCTTTTTAAGTCTCCCACTGGGCATAAGCAGCAATACCAGTGAGAGGACACAAATACTTATCTTCTTCTTCCCAGTCACACATTCACACCCACTGAACTTTCCCTTCACTGCCATATTTATAGCTACCAGAGTGCAAGCTGACCCCATTAGAGATAGTAGAAGGGATTCAATAGAGAAGGGAATGCAAATGGGAAAAAGCAACAGAGGAAGTTGATCTGGAAAAGAGTTGTGTATAAGGAAAGGGAGCCAGCAGAAAAGTTGAAGCCCAGCCATGTACACTTTTATAGAACTATGCAACCAAATGATTCAGATGGTAGAGTTTCTCTTCTAATAAATGTTTATTGAACAGATTAGTAAATTTCAAGGAAGATTTTCCTGGGAGATATACTGTTTTCTGCAAACTTCTAGAAGAGTTATCAATAATCTGTACCAAAAAAAAAAAAAAAAAAAAAAAACCCACAAAGTATAGCTAAAGAAAACTATTTAAGATAGTTTCCAACCTGATCTGATATTTTAACAATCTTCAATCAAATTTAAGACTTCTATGTTATATTTGAGTAACAGTTCAATGATTCTCAAAGGCATTTAAATGCTTGAGGGGTTTTAAAAATTGGTAGTACACATTTAGGCCAATTTATACTCTATCTCATCCTGGCAGATGGAATGGGCCATATAAAAATGACCAACCAACTTCTAATGTATATGGCCCAGGAGGGCATTCTTCAGAATTGAAAAAGATTTTCTATAACAGGATGCTACCATTAGCATTTAAATACTTTTAAAAACATAATAGGCATGGTCTCAGTTATGTAATCCTTGTGCAACATTTTACCTAACTAGTAACATAAACTATATATAGGTATGTTCAGGAAAAAAAGCAGCCATTTGACACCATTTCTTTTGTATACCCATATTCCTGGTATATATGTTAAACACTAGTTCAAAAACAAAAATAGTTTTATGAAATAATTTCTAATTGGGAGTCTTTAGACATAATAGGATACTATAAAATCCTTCCTCTCCAACTCACCTTTCAGGAGGGGGAGGGCACAGTCTTGCAGTTCCATTAGGACGCCATCCAGAACACCCATCATGGGAGTGATATCTAACAGCACAAGAACTATGGGCTGCCAAAAAGCAAGGATAGCATCTGTCAATGTAGATCATGTCATTTAGCACAAAAATGTCCTTTTGCAATTTTTGTTTATATGGCTATAACTCCCATTAATTGATGGTAATAAATACTTTAAGAGCTCAGGTATGTAACATTATGCCACTTTTAGATGACTGACATCTCTGGTTGCACCCAGTTAACAAAGCACATGGAATAGTTCTGATTTTCAAACTGTTTTCAGTGCCTGGAGGGATACATATAAATACCTTACCAGCTTTCACTTATAGCAATATGTTTATTATATTTATTGGGATTACCCAACCCTATGCTTTATGATTTATTTGCCACTAAATACAATTTTATTAATGACATTCTCACACTAATGCCAAGATTTAGAGACATGCCCCTACCTGGTCTTTACCAAAGACAGATCCATTCCCAATGCTGTACAACAGCGAATATGCAATTTGACCAGCTGCTCCAGTCACAAGGACTCTGATTGGCTCAGACTGTAATGAAAACGAGTATTAAAAGTGTTATTTTATCTTATGGTTTCAGGATTTTAATAAGACAAGCATATACATTAAAAGCAGATATAAAATTTAAAAATCTCTTCGCATAACTTTAGTAGAAAACTAACTTATTGACTTGCTCTGGAAAATACAGTATGCACAAATTATAGAACGTATGTCCTTCAGCTGCGTATTTTATGTGGCATTGTTCAACTCTCACTCCACAAGGTGTACAAAGTTTATCCTGTATTTTCTGGATGATCTTATAATCTTTTTAAGGATATTTTATTACTGAAACAGGGCTAACAATGTGTGCGTTACACAGTTAAAACAACCCAGGACAGCCAGGAGAGCCTTATAAATTTATGTGAATCTCTCACTCTTTCTCTGCTCACTAGCAGATAAAAATTCACAGCAGCCTGAGGAGTAACAGTGGTTAAAATTTTCTATTTTAACTGAGCCAAACGTTAAAGAAAAAAAAAAAAAAATAACGTCCTCAGAGGAAAATAATCCAAGAAGAAAAAAATTACAATAAATTATAAGTAATAAGAGCAACATGTAGGAACAGCTGACAACCTGATTCCAAAGGAAATTTATTTTTGAAAGGATGGTGACACATATGAAGAGCATAATACTTACAATACTGAAAAGTAGCCTTAAAGATTCAATAGACAGAATAAAGGACAAGAGGAAAAACACTGAAATTAAGAGTGATGAGCTTGAGTCATTTAAATAAGTTTAAATTAAGCTCAGAGAATTTAAAAATATACAATCAAAATGAACTTTCCTTTTCCTCAACAATGTTGGGTACCTGTGTCTCTACTCCGTCACCTCTATGTCTTCCTGTATGGAGACATGGCCAACTGAACTGATTGGGGGAACAGCAATGTTTGATTTATTTTTATTCAAAATTCTCTCTTCCAGATGATTTATGTATCCGAAATGGAGAGAGGATAGATGACCTTGCAGGATCTCTTGAATCTTCTAACCTTAAGCACTGAGGTCAGAAGCACTCAGCAAGGTGGTATTGAAAGAAATTAAAGGGGAAAAAATAGTATCAGGAAAGAAGTATCAACTATTACAGAAAAAGAAATCTAGCAGGGTGTGGTGATAGGTGCCTGTAATCCCAGCACTTGGGAGGTTGAGGCAGGGGAATCGCTGCAAGTTTGAGACCTGCCTTGGACTCAAAGGCCAATTTGAACTACACAGTGAGACCTTATCTCAAAAAAAAAAAAAAAAAAAAAAAAAAAAAAAAATCTGACCATAGTACATTATATGCACACTTCTTCCTCAGAGAAGAAGTGACCAGTATGGAAATAGGAAAAAAAAAAAAAAAAAAAAAAAAACCTCAAAAACAAATCTCGTAAAACTATGGAGAAAGTGGAGAAAGTTTCTTCCTAAACTTCTGGGTTTCTTCTTCATCTTTTCAGCAACTTTTCCTCTGCTCTTTATATCCCTGAATATACAAAACATGTAAATTTACTAAGTTAGTTTTAATAAAATACATATTTATATTCCAAAAGAGACTAGACTTACAAAGAGGACTAAATGTTAATGTATACAGTTATTTATCATGTTAAAATATATTACATGGTATTTGTATTCTTATCTGTCATTACTATTTAATGACATTCTTTAAGTGGCGTATACATGTTTTTTAGTCGTCATTTTCTTCTCTCCCTTGAAGTTAAGTAGAAAAGACAAGGAAAAGGGGAGGAAATAGAGGAAGAAATTATTCCTTCTTCCCCTTTTGAGTGCAAGGTCTTCGAAGCTGTGAGCTCATCTATTGTATTTTACTTTATTTTTTTTTGGGGGGGGGAAATCTACTTTTTTTACAGTAGTATTGAACTAACTGGAGTACCTGACACATAATCGGACCTCAAATATTTGCTGAAGAAATAGTTGATTCCTGAAAATACTACTACTTCCAAAGATTAAAAATAAAATAAAGATAAGAATTATTTCAAAGTATATTGAGCATGTGTTTAAAAAATTTTTAAAGATACTTATTCACGTACACTTGCATCGAGAAGGCTGGAAACTTAGGTACCATAAATAATAGTTTGGGCTATAAGCAAAAGTATTTCACTAGTTCTAAGTTATAGTTTTATCAATCAACTGATAAACTTATGTCATTTAATTCACATGTGAAACAACATATCATTGAATTCCTATTGGGTATTTGGTACTATTTTAGGCCAGGGAATCCATTAGTAAACCTTCTGAATTTAGAAAAGGGATAAGTCAATTCTCTAAAATGGGGCTAGAGGCAGCAGAGAGCAACAATGAAGCCATGGCCTTTGGGGTGGAACTTTTCTAGGCTCACATCTTGGTTCTACATCTCATTAGCGGTATGTTCTTGGAAAGTTACTTAACATCTCTGTATTGTTTCCACAGAGTAAAATGGAGATATAAGAGTAGGTCCAAAAAAAAAAAAAAAAAATCGCAGTTTTTAGGACAGAGATTAGTTCACACACAAAGCACAAAGAATGACACGAAGCAAATCTTAGTTATAGGTTTCACCACAGAATTCTCCTCTAAGGAGGTATTTTTTTTCTTTTTCTTTTCTTTTGAGACAGGGTTTTGCTGCCAAGCTGGCCTTAAACTTGCAATTCTTTTGCCTTAGTCTTCTTAATAGGCAGGTTTGGTCTTTCTGAATAAGGGAGTTTGCCTTCTCTAAGGATTCTTACAGCCAATGGCTTTCTGTATGTATGTCTACTAATCTCTACCAGACTGAAGAATCCTGACAGGAATCTCGTTTTGACTCAGATCTTTGACTCATACAGTTCAACAAAAATTTGTCGAAGGAATGAAAATAAAGGTAAACAAAAACAAAGACAATGTACTTCAATGTAGGGTTGGTTACAAAATGAGGAGGCAAGCACACAGCTCTATTTATAAAGCTCTCTCTGAAAGTCAACTAGATTCCTAGAACAGAACAACGCAGTCAATTTTAGCTATTAAAAATGTGTTCACAGTATCCGTTTAGTGCAGGGGTTGTGGCCAACTACAATCTGCTAATTCTACCAGCAGTTTCCTTCTGCCTCTTTGGGCAAATTCTTTTCATAGGTAGGTAATTTCATCTTGTTAAAGCTTAGTATGAAACCTAGTTATGAATGATGATGGAATAGGTAAAGGGAGCCCATATTTGGTTCTCACTCTTCTTCTGCAACACTACAGTTGAAAAGCAGGAAGGTGGGAGAGCCCTGTTGGCTGACTTCTCATTATGCTGTGTGAAGACAGGTTACTATTCTTTGCTCAGAGATCTGGGCAGTCTGCCAAGATCCAAGAGGGGATGTCTTTATTCTAGTAGGGCATTAATGACCTTTCTGCAAATGTAGTCTCTGTCTTGAGAACGTGCGATGGTCTCTTGCAAAGCTTGAATTTATTCCTTCTGTTATTCCACAGAAGAATACATCTATTTCTTCCTTTCTAATTAATATATATTTCTAATTTACATATATTTCTGTAATACAAAATACAAGTGATGCCATTCAGATTCCTTCAGTTATTTCCTATGGATTTCTTATAGACACAAGCAAAGAATTTTCTGCTTTAGCCCCTTCTTTCAATTGGCTTACAAAAGATGGCTCTTTTGTAAATCACTGATTATTCAGGCTCTTCTGAAGAGAAAGATTTTGAGTCACGTGAAACAACAAAGTGACAGAATTCTTCCTTATGGACCATGTCTGTGTTATCTGGCATCCCAGTGACCTTCCAGAAGTGAGGCCTGGCTTAAATATAGTGAGAAGCAAAACCAAAATAAGATCTGGGTCCTGGATTTCTCTATGACCTTGGGAAAAAAATCACATGACCTCACTAACCTACCTTTAAGATTAGATGAAACTGTCTCCAAACTACCTTTCAATTTCATTAGTCTGAATTACAAAAATAAAGCTATCATGCAATATACATGTTGGTAAAGTACTTGCATTCATATTGCAGTATGAGCTTACATATCATCATAGATCATCAGATATTAAAAGTAAAATTTTAGAATGACTTGACACATAATGATAAAATAGAGTGTGACCTTGAGCAAATCAATTCTCTCTGGGTCTCAATTAATTCAGGTTTCGTCCAGTTCTAAAATTAAAAATCTTAAGTCCTCTAATAAGAAGTACCTCTGCTTTCTTGTTAAGATTATTAAGAGACAAGCCACTGCAACCATAATTTAAATGATTACATTACTTGATAAAATAACTAGGAAATCAAACACTAGGAGTTAGTTGCTGATCTTCTTTGTCCACTTACAAAGTTGAGGGAGAAATGCCTGTATTTGAAAACATGTCTTTTCAGGTTCTGGAAAACTTGCAATTCATTGGAGCATTTTCTAACATTCTCCAGACATTTTAATATTTTGAGATAAAGAAGAAAAATATTTCCAAATATAAATAGAAGTCCTGAAACAATTTTCCTCAGTACGACAGCAAATGTCACCTTCAAAGAGCTCACAGATTATATCTACGTCACAATTTCCTCACCCTGCCCCCCTTGCAGCAGAGACAAGATATGCAGCTCTAGCGATTGCTTCAAAGACAAGATGGTAATTGAAAAGTAATGCTTCTGTAATTCAAAATACAGAAAGCAGAGGTACTTCTTATCAGAGGACTTAAGATTTTTAATTTTAGAAAGAGACGAAACCTGCAGGTGGAAGAACACCTGCATTTGTCATCTGGGTACTGACACTACCTGGCATTAGAATAAGATTCAAATAATATTTTGTTAAGTTAGATACAGAAAAAAACATGTCTCCTGAAAATGCAGATCGTTATTTGTAGGACCTGGTGATCACAGCCTTAAGAGTCGAGGTTCTTTTGCTGTAAAGGGCTCTATAACTCTATAACAAAAGCCTTTAAAATAATGATTTAAGAAAAGGAAGAAAAGAAAGGAGGAAGAAGAAGAAGGACGAGAAGGGGGAGGAGGAGGAGAAAGAGGGAAAAAAAAGGTTAGGAAGCAAATTTCCCTTCCCATCAAACCTCATCGTCCCTAGTCTGCCCAATTATAAACCTTCGAAGAAAATCAGGATTCGTATTTTGCACCCCGTTATATAACAGGAGAAATACCGAGTTTCTTCAAGGACAGTGACTTCTCCAGAGACCTACAAAACGCCCCCAGGAGGAAAGTAAGCCCTTCCCACTTACTGGGTTATTGCGACAGTCCCCAGCTGCGTGGGAGCTTTGCAAAACGGCTGCAAGGTCAGCGCGATGCCCCTGCTCTCTACTGAAAATCCTTAAATCTCAAGAACCCTCACACCCACGCCGGAGGTGAGCAGAAGCCAGGGTCCCATACTTACCATGACTGGGACCGCACGGAAAATCTCTGCACCTGCAGAACGAGCCTCTGGAAGTCAGGTCACCTCTAGCTCGGAATCGAGTCTAGGAGGGCGCGCGGTGACAGTAAGAAAAAGTTCGGCTCCCGGCCGCAGTGCCCTCTGGGAAATATAGTTTAGATTGCCCGGCTCTGGCTCAGCCTCCACGCATTCTCTCCACTGTTGAACTACACTTCCCGAAAAGCAGGATCTTTTCACGTGCTTTTTCCTGCGCTCTGCAGTCCTTGCGAAATAGTCCCCAAGAATGAGTCTCTGTGATTGGACAACGACTATTAGCGGATGGTTTGGGCTCAGAAGGAAAGGACTGCGTGATGGAACTCGGCAGTTGGAGGGAAGGAAGGCATGTGTAACTCCAGGGGGGAGACCCCTCAACCGTCTTACTTAAGTGCAACAGACACTTTTTCGTTTCATGCGGTAAACGTGGACGGTAAAAAGACCTTCCGCTGCGTAAAACTGAATCGACCCGGAAACAAAATCTTTTAAATCCTTGTACGCGCTCCCGAGGGGCGGGGGAATTGATGTGTCCGGAAGACAGTTCAGCTTCTCAGGTTGCTAAGCGACAAGGCGAGAGCTGCTGAGAGAACTGTGGCTGAGGCTGCTCCAAAACCCTGAGAACTGTGGCGGCGGCTCTGAAATCCGGAGATAGAGCGCGCGTTTCCTAGTCCATCTTTCCTAGCGCAGGGAACCTTCCTCCGGATAGTGTCCGGTGACGAGAAAAGGGTCGACAGTCCCTTCTAGGAAGATCCGGGGCCGTACGTCTTCTCAGTTCCAGCGGCAGGTGAGCCCAGTCTGGAAAGCAAGGAATTTTCTTTTAACCTTAGGGTCTAGAATGTGGTTGTGCGCCCTCCTGCGTTCTTTACTTCTTTTCTTTTCACACAGTGTTAGCGGGGTGGGAGTGCCACAGTGTTCTAGAAGATGTGGTGTCCTGGAGTTCGCGCCTGCTGTCTGCTGTGAAGTGCAACTTTTCCAGAGTTAAAGAAAAAGATATTGAGCCTCTGCTTGGGAGGTGGAGGTGAGCCCCTCCATTCTAAGAGCTTGCAGTCCATGTATCTAACTTTTCCTTGCCTCCCGAGAACATTGTCATCCCTTCTCTTTTGAAAACTAAAATGTGCTTAAAATCAAACCCGTATTTCCAAGGAAACAGTGGAAGTGAATGGGAGGCATTAGTTGTTTCAGGTGGAATATCAGCTGGGAAAATAATGTAAGAGCTTTTCATTTAAAATTAATAAGGCACAAGAGAATCAATGTGTTTCTCTGAAAGCTTCTTTGATGTGAATATTGAAAGAAGATGTGCTTTGGAATTGCTATATGTAATGAAAATGAATGTCTGTATTAGGTAACGTTGGCATAACGTCTTGTTATGTCAATGGGTTTTGTCTTGTCGTTGGTAAATGAATGTCACTTTGTTTTTCTCTGTTTCATTTTTGGGAGATTTACTATTTTGGGAAAGAAATATAATACCCTACTTTTCTCTTTGATCTTAAAGTAGGAAATATTTTTCATACCTGAATGACACCTCCTTAAATCACTTTATTCAGTTATCTTTAAGATACGCTTTTTCAGGTTTTCCGCTCTTCTCATTGGTTGCCCTGTCTCAGTCCTTTCAAGTGCTTTTTAAATTAAGCTCTGATTTATTAATATTGGAATGCCTGTATTCATCTGCCTCTAAGTGAACTCAATCATGAGTTTTATCTCTTCAAATGCTAGTTTTTTGTCAAAAAGTTTGAGTGTGGCAGTGCAAGCCTGGAATCCCAGCCCGTTGAGGGTCTGAGCAGGAGAATCCTAAATTCGAGTCTCTTGGAAATTTAGCTTGATCTTGTCTCAGAAAAGAAAAACAATTTAATAAAAAGGATAGGATGTAGTTTGGCCTGAGAGCCCTAGGTTCAGTCTCCTCCACCAAGAAAACAAAACAACAAAACCAACCCTCTCAAATGTGTTTCTAGTCCTGGTATGTTTACTTATTTCCACTTGATTTTTTAGTAATATTTCCACAGTTTTTACAGTATTTACTACTGAACAGCTGTATATTAAAAGTATATTGTGTCACCAATATAACACTTTTTGTTTTATTTTAAAGAGAATAAAGCCAAGCAAAATAAAACAGAACAAAGCCAATGAAAACAAACCAGTGTAAGTGACACAGGAATTCTGAACAATAGGAAATCAACAGTGGTGACCATAATGCCTCCTGCTGTCTTCAAAATAGCTGCAGATACCTTCAGATATAGTAAAAATCAAACAAAACAGAACAGAATAGAACCAAAAAAACCCCAAAATAATGAATGAAATAAAGGACTTCAAAACAAGGTAATAGTAAATCCAAAATGGCTATCTTAATATATCCTGTTATCTTTGAAATAGCTGCCCATGTCATTGGATATAATAAAATCAAACAAAACAGAACAGAATAAAACCCAACCAAAAAAAAAAAAAAAAAAAAAAAAGAAAATGACCGGACTTCAAAACAGGGCATAAGAAATTGACAATGGCTACCACCTTCAGAAGGAGATCCCCCATAGATGCTACATTGTGTATTGTTATCCTCTGAATAGACGATCAGACTATCCATCTTAGACCTGCAAAGTCAGTGAAACACTAAAAACTAACAAGCATTAAATTGTATTTTACCCCAATAGCTGTCACCACAGCCTGTGTTTCTCTGGGTCAGCTGGTCACTATGGCAGGGGGTGAGAAAAGGGGAGGTTTGCTGTTCTTGTTTCCCAGCCCATGTGCCAGAAGGGGCTGGCATCTGGCTCTGCCCTCAGTGGCCCGTGCATGGTGCTGATTTGCAGGGAGGGTTTGCTTCTTGGTGACTTATTGTCTTCCCCCGCAGTCCCATAACACCTTTGTTATACTTTTGTAGATTTGATATGGGTAATATGAGTTGCCCTCAGTTTCACTGTTTGTCTGTGGATGAAATTATAAGATTTCAAATTTAGACTAGTGAAGAGATAGGTATGGTTAGATGGAGACTAGGATAATAAATTGGGCAGGCGAATTTAGGAAAAGAATTTTAGCCTGTGACATTCTGTTAGGCTCTGGGGAGTCAAGAATGAACATAAATAACAGCTGCTGCCCTTGAGGAGCCCTCATATACCATGAAATATAGATGTGTAAACCCACAGTGAGAATATAATAACAACCTGGTTAATAATAAATAGTTAGGTACACTGAACTGCCAAGATTTTAAAAAGAGGATGCTGCCTGAATAGAGACAAATGGGTGTTTATGCCGGGCAGCTAAGGTACAAGGTAGAACCACATTTGCAGTGTTGCAGATAGTGTTTGAGTTGGTAGTAAGAAATCATACGTGTTTTAATTTCCTTAATTTAAAAAATGTAAGGCTCTAGATTCTAGAACTATACTGTTGAATACTGTAATCATTAGTCATGTGTGACTATTCAAATTTAAGTTAATTATAGTTAAAGTTTAAAACCCAGTTTCCCAGTTATGCTAGCTACATTTTAGGTGCTTAATAATGTGTCCAACAGAATATAGAACAGAATCCCCAAAAGTTCCATTGCAGAGGACAGTGAGAATTTAGTGGAAGCAAGGCATCATCACTCAGAGCCAGAGCAGGTATGGCATATCTGCGTAGTATTTCTCTTAAATTTGGGCTCCTGTGAAGTGTAGAACGGCTATAATAATGACAGCACAGGAAGGGTCCTGTTAGAGGCAAGGTCTTGTTATTTATAAAAATAAATTCACTTGAATTACTCAACAGTAATTAAAATCAGTTAATGCTTCATTTTTTCTCCTACCAACTAGATATTATGAAAACATTTTATGTAACTAATTGCTTTATATGTAAAGCCCTAATCATTGTCATTTTTATTCTAATAGAAGTCAGATTTAAAGTTTAGCAGTACATGTGTCTGTTTGAAAGAAACTTGGGCACCATTGCAGTGTCCTGGATCTTGAGCCAAATTTAGCTTCAGGACTATGCCCTATGCTCTTGGGAAGGGTTGAGAAAGCAGTCATTTCCTGGGTAACCTTGAATAACATCTATCTGCTCCTTTGTGCTGTTGTGGAAAGCCCATGTTCTTGCCTTACTGTTAGTAGATGGAAAGATATATACCATATGTAGAAGCCTAAAATAGAATGGCAGGTTCAGACCTTACCAACCTGCTAAGAAAAAGAGAAGCCTAGTTGAGTTGGCTGTATATTTTAATATGTACTACAAGTTTGTTTTAATGTGAGTTTTATGAATTGTCCTAAACTTTCTATCTTAGTGGATGCTGCCATAACAAAATATCATAAACAGAAGAGTGAGATGGATAAATATTTCTTATTGTCCTGGAGTCCAGGAAATATAAAATCAAAGTGGCAGCAGATTTAGTTCTAGCTAAGGTCGTTTTTCAAATGAGTATCTTCTCTTTGTGTTCTCAATACATGAATTTTTAAGAGACAAAGACATTTAGTCTGAAGTGTCACATTTTATTTGATATATTTGCTCTCTGTACTTATAATAGGTTCTTCCTTCAAGGTTTGGCTGGTTTTATTACATATTTTCAGTGGTATTACTGTGAAATTTAATTTATAATAGTTCTCATCACAAAGGTAAGAGGAAAGAAATGTCGAGGGACTTTAATTGTATGGGTGGGTATAGAAAATGGGTGTTTGTTTTATTGTTTGTCCAGCTTTATTCACTGTCCAGCTTAAGAAGGCATATTACCAATCCCTTCTTGCTGTGCTGGCAAACATGGAATGTATATTAAATTTTGTGTGTATATATTTTGTAATATAGAATTAAATTCACTTGAATTTTTCAACAGTAATTAAGATCAGTTAATGTTTCCTCTTTTCCCCTAGCAACTGTAGTATGAACTTATTTTGTATAACTGATTGCTTTACATGTAAAAATACTGCTGTATAAGCATAAACATATCTATTCTTTTTCTCTAAATGTGTCAAAAACATTTATAATTGTGTTCATTATTTTAAAAAATTAAGACATACAAAACAGAACCTCAAATGGATAAATTCATGGTTCATGAGATGGGAAGAATATAAAGAGCTAACCCTTGCCAGTAACATGAGGCAGAGACAGAAGAGGAGGGAGAAAAAAAGAGGCCTGCTGAGTGTAAAGAAGTAACATTGAAGTAAAGATTAAAAGTATCAAAAAAAAAAAAAAGAATGATAGCAAATGTAGTTACAGATGCAGATGGTTTTTATTTGTAATTCAAGAATCTGGGTAGCCTGTATTCTACCAAGTAGAATAAGAACTTCCACTGGATGATGGCAAAGTGGGTTTTGTAAGGTGGGAACAAGGAAACAAAACTGTAGGAGAGAAAAAAATAGATTGATTTATGTCAAGTTACTTTTTTTTAAAGGGTGCCTTATTACACTGACTCAAGTAGGTTGGAATCTTCTATTTTCAGGTCATTTTAGGATCTATCTGCTTCTGTAAAGTTTCAGTTTGATTATGCATTTAGTATATGTGACTTTTGGGTTACTTTGATCATTCGGGGAACAATAAAGGACAGTGGTGGCCATGAACCTATGGCATACAGGCCACAAAGAGCTGTTTGTTATCACTGAAAGCTCTAAAAGTTTCTCCATTAGACAGGAACTCAGACCAAATGATGGCCTCCTTTTTGTTTAGTAAAAGGGAGGGGAAAAATTCACTTGTCATATTAATTCTCATTATATATCTTATGCATTAGCCAAACTACTTGTTATTGCTCAAATATATCCTTTGTTTTCTGACTGTTTTATGTGTACTTTTTCAACTAATGTCTTATTCTTTCAGACTAAGGCAGGATGACTGAAAGTTTGAGTCCAGTTTGGGCAATTTAGCAAGACTTTGTCTTAAAAAAAAAAAATTAAAAAGGACAGGATCATTGCAGAGGTTCTAGGTTTAATCTCTAATATTTCAAAAAATGGATATACAGCCAAAAGTGGAGATTTCTATATATCTGTAATCTCAGCTTTCTAATACACTTGTCTGGCAAAATATTATCTTACCTAATGTGTTTTAATTCTTAAAGATTTTTAAGTAATCACATTATCG